TTGCAGGGGGTTCCTTACAGCCGTGTTATAACAGCCCATCCAAAAGTTTTGGGTCCCCCACATAAAGAACTTTTCTATAGTCAATTTCCTTATTATGCCCCCTAGGGTTCCTCCCTCATGACACATTAGTGCTTTAATCCCCTTTCCTGACATGAGAGCTCCCTGTCAGTCCCCTTCTTTATTAAAGATCAAACATGACCAGTGCTTAAGGTAGGACCAACAGGGGCCTCCACATTCATTATCCTGTCCCCTGGGAATGAATCTGTATACATCAATCTTATGAAGAGATCGTGTGTAAACAGCACAATCTGACATCCTGGTGCAGGTGGTCACTGACACCAAGATGAGGTCAGCAGGATGATCCTGGAGAGGTGCTCCCCCAAACCAAAGTACCAACTGAAGGAGGACTCAGGACTCTCTTGGGACAGGGTCACTTTCAAGATCAACTTAGTTGACAGGGTCATGGAAACTGGCTGGGAACCTGGATCAGAACATGGTCTGGCTGGTGGGCAAGAACCTGTTCTGGCTGGGTATACATAGGATCAGAGGGGACATCAGGAGGAAGGGTGGGCACCAGGTTATCTTTCTATCTTGAAGTTGCTTTGATATCATCAACTTCAGAGGCTGGTCTGGCATAGCTCTTGCAGTCCACTCCTATCTTGAGTAAATAGCAGCCTTGTAGTGGGTGTGATTTATTCAAAGCTTGATACCTGCAATTTGAGAGATGAAGGGGTGATCAGTATGATTTGATATGGCCCTTTTCATCTTGAGTCTAAACTTCCTGTACTTGGATTTTGATCCAGAGCCAGTCATCTGGGCCCTAGGAGTGTAAGGGGTCCTAGACTACAAGAAGAAGAGGCAGATTCAGCTGCCCAGTGATCTCCTTGATGGTGTTAACTAAGTCTTTCAAAAGCTGCTGGAGACGAGTTTGCCCATACTCCTGACAGTCAGTCTCCATAGTCTCTTGAGAGGAGCAGAGGAGAATTCCCAAGCAGAATTTCAAAAGGGTAAAATCTACATTTGCAAGATGAGCATCTTACCCTGAACAGCACAAACAGCAAGATCTCTGGCCAGGAGAGACTTGTTTCCTGACAGTGCTTGGCTATTTCAGTTTTTAGAGTTCTGTTCATCCTTTCAACCTAGCCTGAGGACTGTGGGTAATATCATGTGTGTAAAGCTCAAGTCAGTCACATTGCTTTAGACAGTTGGTGAACAATTTTGCTGACAAAGACCAGGCCACTTGTCTGACTCAATGCTTATCAGGACTCCAAAACATAGGATGATTTCTCTGACTAAGACTCGAGATACTTCTTGGGCCTTTTCAGTGTGAATGGGGAAGGCTCCCACCCAGCTTGAGGAAGGCACAAACAATAACTAGTAAGTACCAGTTCCTTTACTGGACTGGATGTCTGTGAAATCTACTTTCAAACGTTCAAACAGGCAGGATCCCATTTCTAGGGCAACAATGAGGCTCGGGGCCCTTTTTGGGGTTATCCCATGAACATCACAGGGAAGCTCATCCACCTTGTTGGGCTAGTGTTACCAGCTTTGGGACCAGTAGATATCTCTGTAGCAAGTCTTGTCTGGTTGTTTTTCAAGGTGACTCACCTCATGAGCTCACCAGATCAGATGGATGCATCTCCTTCTGAGACTATGACTTTACCATCTGAGGTGATCAGCCAACTCCTCAGGTCCTTGGTTGCTATTTGGTCTATTGCCTCTTTTCTATCTTCTGGATGGTATCTGGGTCCCTGTGTCAGTAGTAGTAAAAGGTTGATATATCAAACTAGGGGGGCTAACCAGGACAGTTCCATCTTTACAGAGGATGGATGGCCCAGAAACCTGATGGAGCAGGCAGAGAGATACTGGGCTGCCCCTGATGTTGAGGTGGCCAAAGTTAGTAGAGTGTCATCATTTTTGATTGGAGGTAGAGCATTCAATGTTGGTGGGGGCTCGTGTTCATTGTTAGATGTTGGTGTTCTGTGTAGGGGTGAATAAAGAATAGAACATGGAGCCTCATCAGCCCCAGGGTCTTTTGGTTGTACCAGTTCAGCTGCCTCAGTTGGTTTTCTGATTTGGCTGATGGAGTCAAAGGTGGTAGGTATGGGAGTGGGAGTGGGGGTTCAGAGCCCTGTTCATGGTCCTTGTAAATGGGAGGCTTTGGTATTTTCCCTTCAGGTTTACTACTGTGGGTGGCTAGGATGGCAGGAACTGTAGATCTCTGAAGAACATGATACCAAAGCCATTTGGGAGGACTGAGTGCCAAGCCCTACCAGAATTCTGTATAGGGAAACTGATCAGGTGTCCTGGGTTGTTCACACAGGCTTCTTTCATTCTTCTAATGGTAGTAATGTCCAGTGTGCCTCTTGGTGGCCAGTCCACATTGAAAGAAGGCCACTCAACTTCACAGAAAGTTCTAATTTTGAGGGTTTCATCTTGATGCCATAATTTCCTCCATAGCCTAGTTTAAAGTTGTCCAGCATTGTCTGGAGAATAGTAAGGGTCTGATGCTTGAATTTGGAGGAATACCTTTTGAAATTTTATATATGCCTAAGGTATATGTAATGTGTGCACAGGAGGGGTGGAGAGTGCTAGTATCTCCCTTGCTCAGGTGCCCACCTGGACAGCTGCTTCACAGCAACTTAAGAGGTAGTACTTAGGGCCACATGTATAAACCCTGTACTTGATCACCTCATATTACAGGAGGTGAGTGTCCATTTATGTGAAACAACCTCAGTGGAACTGAAGGATGGGGCCCTCTCAGGTTCCAAAGATGCATGACCTTGGAACCAGCACTTTCAGTCTCACATTCACACATAATCATTTAGACTTTAAAACAGTTATTCCCTAGTTACCCAGTTAATTTCATGTTTTACTTAAATGTGGCCAGTTTCACCTTAGAATGCCTTCAAAATTTAATTGTAGTCTCCTTTTCCTGCTTGGTCAGAGGTCAGTGCTACCTTGGAATCTCATTGAGGTTTCTGATACAGCTCCTTCAGGGACTCAGTGTGCAGCAGCTCCTGTCTACCACAGGGGACTTTATATAACATGGACATCCACTCTGGTTCTCCATCTCACTTCACCTGGTGAGATCTTTGGTCCATGACTGCACAGTCCTCTTTGGCCTTCTGGAAGAAGACCATGGAAACCCTTCAGGGGTGTGCACTTCTCTGACCCAGGGGCATCAGGCAGGCTGCAGGATCCAGGAGCAGCAGCCCCTATGACCTACAGGTGTAGTTGGCAAAATCTCGCTGGGGCCTCCATTATTTGTGCAGGAATTTCTGGGAGTCAAGAGACTGGCAGTCAAGGTAGGTGAAGGAGAGAGTTTATTTATGTCAGCTGGGTGACACTCAGATTATTATTCCTTAATGACTCTAGCCCAGAGCTAAAGTTTGTAAGGAAATTTATAATTAACTCATGTGTGGACGTTAAGCATGGAATTTCTGACATATGTAGCAGTTCAACAAGCGATTACACATAAGCAAGTGATTACAAAAGATCACAAGAATGCAGCCGTTTGGAAAACAAAGATTTCAGTGGGGTGTACATGATAATTAAACCTGCAATAAAGCACAGGGGGTGAGGGTGGATTCCTTTTACATTCCTCATTCTTTTTGTATCTCAGCTCTAGGGTGTTCCACAATTCAAGGTTCTCAGCCACAAACTCATTGTCAGTAAGTCCATTTTAACATTACCACAAGAGATTACCTTTAGTCTCAGAAGAGACTTTGCAATCTGAACTTTTGAATAGTATTGAGACTGGTAAACACTATGGAGATTTTAAGGTTGGACTAAATGCACTTTTGCATTTTATATGGTCATGGGCCTATTGGGCCCAGGGTATGGAATGTGTTAGTTTAAATGAGAATGTTCCCCACAGGCTCCAAATATTTGGACATTTTTTTACTCCACTTTGTGGCACTGTTTTAGGGGGTCCTAGAAGGTATGGCCTTGCTGGAGGAAACACTTCACTGGGGGAGGGTTTTGGGAGTTCTTCAGACTTGCAGGACCCCCAGGTGCTCTTCACTTCCTGTCCCTTCTTGAAGGTGTGAATGCTCCCCTTTCTGCTCCAGTCACTTCCTACCACCACACCTCTACCTTCCATGCTCCCCATGATGGACTCTATTTCCACAGGAACTGTAATCTAAAATAAACTCTTCATTTTGTAAGTTCCCTTGGTAACAGTGGTAACCAATACACAAATAATTACTATTATTATGTATCTTGGTCATTATTTTAACCAAAGTGCTAAAATCACAAGGTCTACATTTTCTCTAAGTTAGGACTAGCTGACTAGGAAGGAGAACCCAGTTGGTACTACTATCTATTCCTCTATGAACTCTTGGAGGATGTTGAAAGATATAAGGATGAAGGCAGTAATATTCTATTCTATCCATCATTTCATCTCATACACTCTAAAAATCTAGAATACAAAATATTGAACATAGGCAATAATAGTGTACATAAGCTTCTCTCACTTGTTAGTACCTCTTATTGCAATAGTCATAGAAATCTCTATTCTTCAGTGACTCTACAATAACTTCAAAAAAGTCTTCATCAACCAAACTCAAACAGATCTTTGAAAAAGGTAAAACAATTTGACAATGAGATCTATTTTGTTTCATGAAGGAAAACTCATCTGGATGCAATGAGAGGTGGGTCAATGTACAGCTCTTTACATTTTCAAGTTATAAATTCCCTCTGTATTGAGCATTATTTTGTTGTAGCAGTAAAAGGAAGCAAAAAGGTAAACCATTCTTAATTCACAAATACATATAGGTAGGATAGTGAAGGTTGAAGTCTCCTCTGAAATAATGATAAATCATCAGAACATTGGACATTTTCTGCGGCATTGAGACAGTTATTGCTCCATATTGTCATTATTGTTCACATCAAATTGAGACTTTGTTTAAACTCTGTATGAATTGTGTAACATGTTACCCATGTGCACATTATTGTGGTTTTTGAACTACTACCTCAAAAACCTCCACAACTGTAACTTAACAGTGGTATGTCTTCTTCTGCAGTCTCTTAATGGCATCTTTGATTTCCTTGTTTCTCAGGCTATAAATCAAGGGGTTCAACATGGGAATTATCACAAGGTAAAACAAGGAAGCAAACCTATCAAAGCTGGAGGAATCACCAGAACTTGAACTAAAATAAACAAACAAACAAGAGGTATAGAAGAGGGAAACAGCTGTCAGATGAGAAGCACAGGTGTTGAATGCCTTGAACCTGCCTTTAGTGGATGTTATCCTCATGATGGACATGGCCACATAAACATAGGATATCATGACAACTAATGCATTCATTAGCCCACACAGCATTGCTAATATAATTATCAAGATTTGGACAAAGAAAGTGTCAGTGCAGGATAGAAGTAGAAGCTGGGGTATGTCACAGAAGAAGTGCCTGATGATATTAGGTCCACAAAAGTGGAGCTGCAGCAAGGCACACAACTGAGATAAAGAACCTGTGAGTCCTGCCACATATGATCCCATCACCATCTGAACACAGAGGGTGGGTGACATGATGGATGAATAGAGCAGTGGCTTACAAATGGCAGCATACCTGTCGTAGGCCATGACGGTCATGAGATATGATTCACTCAGCCCCAGAGCAGAGCAAAAGAAGTACTGAGCTAAGCAGCCCACAAAGCTGATAGTTTTCTTTCCCTTGAATAAGTGGAAAAGTACATTTGGGACTGTTGAGGAGATAAAGCAGAGATCTATAAAGGACAGATTACTGAGGAAGAAGTACATGGGGATGTGGAGGTGGGAATCCATCCTTATTAAAAGAATGAGGCACAGATTCCAGGTCAGAGCTGTGATGTAGATGAGCAGGAATATGATGAAGAGCAGTGCTTTGATTCTGGGGAAATCTGAGAATCCCAGAAGGATGAATTCTGTGATTTTGGTAATATTTCCTCCTCCAACCATTGCCTCAGTGTTCCTATATCAAAAAGTAGAGAAAAGAATGCATTGCTGACCAGATGAAACTACAGCACCATTATTTTCATCTTATTCCTCTTTTCCTTCCCTGGACCTTGGTGAGGATATAAAATCCACATCATAACAAGAGATACAAAATTTGAAATGGTAGCTTTTAAAGGCACTGCAATGGAAATGTTGTGATTCTTGAACACACATCTGAAGAAAGAAATAAGTATACATAAACAGATCCATACATACACTCATTAGAATGTGCACACACATACATACAAAGCAAAGCTGTGCGTAGGGTATAGCTGGAACATGTGGAAAATACAAAATTTCCTTCAATAGGCTTCTGCTAATTCATTGTATTATAATAACAAAGTTGATTTATAATAACAAAATTAGATGTCTCATTTTCCAAAATAAATTTTACTACCTTTATAATTTACTACCTTTATATACTACTTGGATTGCTACTGAACTTCATTTTAAAACTTTCTTTGATGGGTTGGAGAGTTGGCTCAGCAGTTAAGAACATTGTCTGTTCTTGTAGAAGACCTGGGTTTAAACCCCAGCACCCACATGGCAACTAACAGCTGTCCTTAACTGCAGTTCCAGGGGATCCAACTCCTTCTTCTGTCCTCCATGGGCATTGCATGACACGGGTGCACTTACATACATGTCTGTAATACACACATATACATAAGACAAAAAATAAAAATTGTTCTTTGAACCTTGAGAAAAAAATGATTTGTGCTATTTATAATAGTTTCCATAAATCATTTTAAGTTTAACACATCTCCAAATTGATCTAGAGCATCATATCATAATTTATAATTCTAACGTATTTGATGGAGCACAAGCATATATTCCCTGGTAAAATTATGAAATAAATATTGCTATGGAAGCTTCATATGAGGACCCTTAAAGAAGGCAAGTACAGTCAACTGTGGAACCCCCAAATTGTCTTAATTTGGGGGCGTTTTCTTCTTAGCCAATAGGATAGTCCTAAGAATTTCAGTATTTTAGCATTTTAGTTCTGCTCATCCTTATTCCATATTAAATTACCCCAGTGATTTCAACACTGTAAGCTTGATCAATTACTATAAAGTGAAGACAGCAGAAGTCCTTGAATTGAAAGTTGCTAAGTTCTTAAAACCAACAACTCAAGCACAAGCTCAGTCAGCACTCAGGTGATTGTCCATTAGATTTATATTGTTATAATTACTAACAGCTGACAACCAAAAATGACAGTTGTCCCTCTGGAGAATAATGCCTGTATTCCATAAACTTTAGACATCATAATTCCTGTAGATAGTGAGATACCAAAGCACCCAGGAACACTGAAATCACCTGAAAAAAAAATATCTTTTGAACTTTTCTTGACTTTGAGTTCACAGTGTCTAGAAAGATACAACATTAACTGATGGACTTTGATGTAGTAAATACAAATATGCTGTTTCCGAAATATTCTTAAATCACGTTTTTTAGTAATAATGAAATAGAGGTCTCTAGCAATTTCATAAATTAATACCCCCTATATATATGTATATATATACATGCGCGTGTGTGTGTGTTTGTATCCCAAGCATAAACTGTCCTTCCTTGAGGTGAAAGAATCAGCCAGGGATAATATCTAAGAACATTTATAAAAATATTAATAATTAATGGAAGAATATTACCAACACTGATAATTCATTATTCTTATGAAGGCAGACAACATAGACAAATAGATATTTCATAAATAGGTATAAGCACTGGCAAGATAATTAAAAAGACAAGGTTAGAATTTTATACTATTAGAGAAAGAACAAACTTTTATCAATGCTCTCACTATAGGAAAAATATTAGAGGAATAAATAGTTATCCATTGATATAATCTTGGGATGGAACATAGAACCCAAACAAAAGTATAACTGGTCAAAGTGTAGAGAATAAGACACTGCAGAGTGTGTGTCCCCGGATAAGACTCCTGTTTTAAACCTCACATATTCAGGGTTCAGGGGTCATTGCAGAAGAGGGGGAGAAAAATTGTAAGAGCCATGGGTAGTACATGACCATAAGGAAACAGTCTTACAGGCTCCTGGAAAATTGCACATATGAACTTACAGCAATAGTAACAGCAGGCAAAAGATGCATGCAAACTCAATTAGCATAGAACTGGGGAAATGGACAGGAGGCTTCAACCTTAGCTTAGAAACTATTGACATCTGATCACTGCTGGGTGAGAGAGAGTCGATCTTTAGGAGAGTGATGCTAGATAGACTGAAAGAGTCCAGTGGATGAACACATGGACACATACAGAGAAAGGGGAACTTATCTGATATTCACTACTTCTGACATTCACTTACTGGTTGTATGATCTTTATATTATTATCACATCTTTGTCTCATTTACCTCGTGTATAAGTAGGAGATAATGAAATTTACCATCCTAGAGCATTGTTAAAGAGATTGATGGCATAAAGCATTTACCACAGCAGCGGAAATGCTAGCAATCTTTGTTCCTATCTCTGCTTCTCTCTGTAAAGGCTATATTAGCAGAATTAACAATGAGAGACTGAAGAGCTCTTGATAAAGTTTCTGCTTAAAGAACTTCTGAGCCTAGGGGCTGGAGATATGGCTCAGCAGTTAAGAGCACTGACTGCTCTTGCAGAGGACCTGTGTTTGATTTTGATTCCAGCAGTCACATGGCGGCTATGAACTGTCCTTAACTCTGGTTCCAGGGGAATCTGAAGCCCTCTTCTGACCTCCGTGGCATTGCACGACATGGGTACACTCACATACATGTAGGCAATACACTCATACACATAAAATAAGAATAAAAATATTAAATTAAAAAAGAACTGAGTCTAGTTTCAATATTATCACTAATAAATAATTATGTCTAGTCATGTCTATGCAAACGCCTTTCCATATGGATCACCAATTTCTGCTGCTGCTTTTATTTACCACCACCAAGTATCTTCTTGCAGTCAGTACTGACAGTGATGGACTCCAGGAGATACTTTATCACACACTGCCAAACATCATGTTACTAGCATTTGCATCCCTCTGTAAGTATATGTTGAATATAGCAATAGATGATCCTTCCACTCAGCTTTGGATGTGACATGAAGGCAATTACTTTTGCTCAATTCCATTCTAGTTTTATGAACTTGGGGTGTTTTTTGTTTATTCTTAGAAGAGACAATACCAATGTTATTTCTCAGATTTCCTATGCTGCATTAAGGTTAATGAAACACTTTGAAAATATAAATTCATATATACTCAATTATAATTGGTTGACTCAATGAAAACTTCCATAGTTGCTCTAAATTTAATTTGATTTCATTCTTTTGATATAGGCAACCATGATTAGATATATAACCCACCATTTCTAAAAGAAACTGAAGAATGGGGACTATTTTCTGTTTCATTTCTTTTCTAGACAAATTTTTAAAACATTTTAAGTTATACAAAAAGAAAAAAATTAAACATACTCACTGTCTTTAATATTTTGATGTGTCCACAATCTCCCAAGGCAATTTGTAGAATAAAAGATATTTGATATAAATATAAATATTGGTTGAAGAATTCACCAGGTAGGTATAGATCATCAAATCTGATATAAGAAGAACAGGGTCAGTTTAATGAGATGTGCTTTGTATAAGTTACAGGCAAAAATAATGATGAATGAGTAAAAAATATGAGGAACAGAAATTTAAACAGACAGATCAACATTATGTGTGCTTAGACTGAGCATCTCTGATATTTATACTGCCAAAGCTAGTGTCTCCATGACTCCTGGCCACCAAAGTTGATGCTGGAAACTTATTTGATGATTGCAAAAGATCCAAAAGAATTGTTCATGAGTACTCTATTATCATTGGGTCAGTAATTCTCTTATAACTAAAAGTCCTGAATGAGAACTTCAGATATAAATGAAGTTATTATTGCTTCAAAGATAGAATCCTGGTGGGCACAAAAGAAATGAGGAATTTGGAAACATAGTTAAAAATGTTTTGACATTAGGAAATCCAAATCTCAGTAAATAATTATCCTCATCCAAATCTCAATTTCTGATTTTTAAAATCTTTTAGGCTTTATAGAGAACCTCATTTGGTTCTAATCATTGTTAAAAGTAAAAACACAGAAAGTTACAGGTTTCAATGTATGTACTTATGAAGTCAATAACCACCCTTCAATTCGGTGTAATTCTTGAAATTTAAAGTATGGAAATATTGCTTTCTCGAAGGGCAGACATTTGGGTAAGCAGAAAGAAATTGAGAGAAGCAATCATACCTTCAGGGTGTGGAAGTGAAGAGAGGTGACAGGAGAAGAATAGAGAGACTAATTTACACAAACCTTGTTAAATTCTAGGTCTTTCTGTGATACTGACAGGATATTGGGATAGCAGATTTCTTCTTCCATATCTAGACCTCTTGTCTTCACCATATCTTACAAAAATATAGCTACTATCAAAGTTAGAAATTGCCTATATTTTCCAAAGGATCTTTCAAGACAGCCTTGCTGTGCTTCTAACTGGGTGCTTTTGGCCCTGCATCTGGCTGTCCATTAGCAGCATGTAAGATAAGGACATAGGACATCACCTTAAATGTGCCAGTGAGATCAGAGGTGAAAGAAGAAAAGCCAATTAGCATGAACACTGTTCAGACACTAGCTCTGTGGTGTCATGGTTGTCATGGAGATCATCCCTGCTGATTCCAGGCCTCCTTTGTCATATGAAGTAATTCCCTGCTTCCCTGAGGTCATGTTACAGATCAGGGATCTAACTTTATTGACACTGGAACTATGTGAACAGAAAAGCACTTAGGCATCTTCTTAGTTCCCAACTCTCAGTTTGTAGATGACAGCCTTGAGCTGGATATGTTGATGGATGTGTTCAAGATGGCACAGCTATCTAGTAGTATAACTCAGTAACAATATATTACATGTGCACACAATATAGAAAGCATTTTATTTTACAGAAAGATGCACATGCATCTTCACTAAGAGCACCAC